CCTGGTCCCCAGAGGGTGCTTCTGGGACCTCAGCCACACCTGAGGCCACACAAGGGAGCCTGGACATGGGGCTGGTGGGCAAGCTGCTTCTGCTCAGGTCAGGAGCCAGGCCTGGGGCAGAGCTCTCAGGGAGAGTGTGTCACAAATTCATTCCTACGTCTGCCCTGGCCTTGGAAAGATGGGGCACGGGAAGGCCCGTAGAAACATGTCCTTGAGAACATGTGTGCACACGTGTGCCACCCTCACATGCAGTGTCGATCGTCCCAAGAGGCATGCAGACGGGCAGGTGGGCTCAGGGCCACCAAAGAGCATAGCAGGGAGGCCCAGAGCCAGGAAACCTGCGCCAAATGGAGAGAAGGACAGACATCTGAGGAGGCGGCCAGACAGACCACGGACGCGAGGGTAGGGCCCGCAGCAGCAGTGCCCTGACACCCGGCCCCGGGGACCCACTGCGAGGCTCCCTCTTCTCCCGGCAAGGTTTCTTATTTGTTTCCAACATATTGATATCATGCATTGACCAAGAGCTCAGGGCCAGTCACCACACATGTGAGTGGAAAGAGCTAAGCTGCTGAGGAAACCACAGGGCCTGAGCTGGTCAGGCTCCCGCAGGAGCACACCTGCCCTTACCTGACCACCCTCTTCTCTGCCCAGGAGACCTTGCCTTGGAGCTGAGCTGTCCCCCGGTCCCCAAGGGCCCCTGCTAGGAGCATGTTGGCCTTGACCGTTTCCTCCTTGCGCACCTCGGCGCCACCACCTTGCCGCAGAATCTGATGGTGCGCCAGCTATGCTGCACGGACAGAAACATCATGAGGCCACCCCTCCCTCTGGGGAAAATGCCCCCACCCAAGAGGAAACACAGAATTCTGAACACACATGCACTGATGGCCAGGCTTTTCTGGGGGGATATGTAAGTAAAATGCCTAGTCAAGGAATGCTGAAGGAGAGAAACTGCAGTAACCCCCTCCTCCTGGTGCCTGGGTTCTCATCTGGTACCACCCCCACAGCTGTGATGTCACAATACAAAGTGCAGAGGAGGGCAGTGAGCTCTGCCAAGAAAGCCCTTAGTGTCCACCACCGAGATCTGAGGAGTCCACGTGCTTCCCTGGGCGCCTGATGACTCACTTGGGCGGAAGGCTGGTCAGGGTGAGGGAGTTTGCTTGTTGGGTAAACGCTTTGGAAATTGTTCCTCTTTATAAGTGTTGGTGTGTGTGTGCATGTATGGATGCATGTGTACACGTCTGTGTATGCATGTGTATATGTCTCTGTGTGTATGTGTGTGCATGTGTGTGTCTGCACATGTATGTTGTCTACATGTGCATGTGTCTATATGTGTGCACACATGTGTATGCAAGTGTATACATATCTGTATATGTGTGTATGAGTGCATGTCTATATGTGTGTGTATGTATCTGTGTGTATACATTGTGCATGTCTATGTATGTGTGTACTTATCTATGTGTGTGTATTGCATGTGTGTATGTATGTGAGCATGTGTGTATCTGTGTGCGTGCATGTCTATATGTGTGCATGTGTGTATAATTGTATGCATGTGTGTACATATCTGTACGTGTGTGTATCTGTGTGTGTATGTGTGTATTATCTGTGTGTGTGCATGTCTGTGTGTATGCACCTGTATCTGTGTATGCATGTGTGTGTACATATCTGTATGTGTGTATCTGTGTGTGTATGTGTGCTTGTTATGTGTGTCTGTGTGTATTATCAGTGTGTGTGTGTCTATGTGTACGTGTGTGTATCTGTGTGTGCATGTGTGTAGCACGTCATTCTCTTTGGGCTGCTTGCTCACCTGGGACTCCTCGCTGCCTCCTGGCTGTGGATGGAGAAGTGACCGGAGCCGTAGGAACAAGACTTGGCAGGACAGTTCTGACGTGGTTTCAAAAATCTCAGGAATAATCTCAAATCAAGAAAATTTCACACAGCCAGGAAGAAACTGGAAATCCTGCAAGAGAGGGCTTTTCAGTACTTCTGGTCCAGAGGGAACTGGAAGAGCAAAGCGGGACAAGCCCGTGTTCGTGGTCTCCTGAGTCTCTCATCCACCCTGCAGACATGTGGGCACCGGACCACCACGTCTCACAGTCACCACACCACTCTCTCCCACTGTACACGGCACCAACCAGTTCTCCCACAATGGGAGGAGGTTTGAAATGAGACACAGAAGTTCCAGCTCTGTTACGCACCTTCCGATGATTTCTGTTCAGGAGCCAATTACCTGGCTGCAGTTCCTTAGAAAGTGGGTCCCACTCTTGGGCTAAGTGTGTCCTAGAAGCTCTCGGAGCTCAGGACTGCACTGCAAGCGTGTCCAGGCTCAGGGCGCTGCTGTGGTGGCAGCTGAGCTATGCTGGGGCCCACCTCCCTCCCTGGGCAGCGGAGGGTCAGGCAGGGAGACCCCACCCGCGGGCTCGGCTGGCCAAGGCACAGGGGCCGCAGGGCCCAGCAGCGAGGCACATGATCTCAGGGGTCAGGTGACACCTCAGGCAAAGGCGCCCACACAGGGCAGTAACTTGAGCCCTGCAGCTGGTGGTCCTGGTGGCGGCAAGAACAATGGCTGGGGGTGTGGAGCCCCTGCTTCTTTCGGGGCACCGTGCGAGCGTGCGCACACGTGTGCCTCTGCAGATCCTGGGAGGCAAGGCCCTCCCAAGTCCAGATCCTGTCTCAGCCTAGGATGGGCCCCTGCACCTGCCATGTGGGCCTCAGGGCCACAGGGGCAGGCAGGCAGCTCTGCACGTGGATGAAGCACTTCTGAAAAGCCTACTCACTAAATCAGCTTCTTCACAGCTCCTTGTGGTCCTGCACAGGCTTCCACAGACTGGCCTCAGGCAAGCCCTCCTCAAAGTCAAAATCCTAGCCCAGTGGCAGGCCGGCCTGGGCACCCCACTGCTGATCAGCCTGCAAATGGACCAAGGAGTCGAAACTCTTTTACCAGCAGTCAGATGGTGCGTGTCTGGGATGAACTGTTGACACACAGTTTGCAGACTCGTTTTTCCACTGGAGCCTTGAGTTCTGAGTGACATCATGAGCATCTCTGAGGAGCAAAGACACAAATGCCGGGCCAGCACACAGCTGAGCTGGGGAAGTGGCAACCTCTGGGGCACCTGGATGTGGGGGGCGCAAGTGAGTCTGTTCTCTTTGCAGAAACCCAGGCTACTCCTCAGCCTGCGGCTGGCAGTGCCTTGACCTCACAGAAGAGTGGAGCGTGACAGGTGCAGGTGTCCAAGCGTCACATGGGGGCAGAGGCCCCTGAAAAGGCACCCACCACAGCACCGGCCACCGATGCACAGAGCCTTCCCAGAGGCCAGTCCAGCCACACGCGTCTGGGAATAGAGGCTCCCTATGAGCACAGGCGCTTACAGTGCTGGGGGAATGGGTACTTAGGCCTGTTGATAAATTCTCTTTATTTTTTTCCTGACACTCTGCGATGCCCTGAGTAACTCTGATGCTGGTCTCTTCCCTTTCAGAGGAGGCAGAGCTGGCCTGTTGAGTTCAGTCCAGTCTCTCTCTGGACCTCGGCCTCTGTCACCACGTCTGGGGGGGCTGTCTAACCACAGAGATGTCTTTCTGGCTCCAGGGGGTTCAGACTTGGCCCCCGCAGCCCTGCAGGCACTCACCCCCAGCAGGTCAGCCGGTTCCCCGTCACCCCGGTTCACACACCCACGCTCACCCCGAAGTGTCACACTGATCGGCGAGTTCCAAAAGGCCCTGCGGGTGGGGTGTGGAGACAGGGCCCCCCCAAGCCACGGCCAAGGAGCCACGCGAGCTGAGGCGGGCGACCAGGCCACGGCCAAGGAGCCACGCGAGCTGAGGCGGGCGACCGGGCCACGGCCAAGGAGCCGCGCGAGCTGAGACGGGCGACCAGGCCACGGCCAAGGAGCCGCGCGAGCTGAGACGGGTGACCAGGCCACGGCCAAGGAGACACGTGAGCTGAGGCGGGCGACCAGGCCACGGCCAAGGAGCCGCGCGAGCTGAGGCGGGCGGCCGGGCCACGGCCATGGAGACGCGCGAGCTGAGGCGGGCGACCGGGCCACGGCCAAGGAGCCGCGCGAGCTGAGGCGGGCGGCCAGGCCACGGCCATGGAGACGCGCGAGCTGAGGCGGGCGGCCGGGCCACGGCCAAGGAGACGCGCGAGCTGAGGCGGGCGACCGGGCCACGGCCATGGAGACGCGCGAGCTGAGGCGGGCGACCGGGCCACGGCCAAGGAGCCGCGCGAGCTGAGGCGGGCGACCGGGCCACGGCCAAGGAGACGCGCGAGCTGAGGCGGGCGACCGGGCCACGGCCAAGGAGACGCGCGAGCTGAGGCGGGCGACCGGGCCACGGCCATGGAGACGCGCGAGCTGAGGCGGGCGGCCGGGCCACGGCCAAGGAGACGCGCGAGCTGAGGCGGGCGGCCAGGCCACGGCCAAGGAGCCGCGCGAGCTGAGGCGGGCGACCGGGCCACGGCCAAGGAGACGCGCGAGCTGAGGCGGGCGACCGGGCCACGGCCATGGAGACGCGCGAGCTGAGGCGGGCGGCCGGGCCACGGCCAAGGAGACGCGCGAGCTGAGGCGGGCGGCCAGGCCACGGCCAAGGAGCCGCGCGAGCTGAGGCGGGCGGCCGGGCCACGGCCAAGGAGCCGCGCGAGCTGAGGCGGGCGGCCGGGCCACGGCCAAGGAGCTGCGCGAGCTGAGGCGGGCGGCCGGGCCACGGCCAAGGAGACGCGCGAGCTGAGGCGGACGACCAGCCCGGCTGCCCAGACACGTGAGCTGAGGCAGGCGACCAGGCCACGGCCAAGGAGCCACGCGAGCTGAGGCGGACGACCAGCCCGGCTGCCCAGACACGTGAGCTGAGACGGACGACCAGCCCGGGTGCCCAGACTTTGCTTCTGACGGTCTCTAGAATAGAGTCCTAATATTCAAGGCGCTAACGTGAGGTGGGGGAGGCCAGAGCGACAGACAGTGGGTGCGTCACATCTGAGTCACACGCCCCTTCCCTGTGGGCCAAAGCTCTGCATGTCTATCTGTGGCCGGGTCTCCTCAGCTCTGCGCGCCTGCTGCCTGGGGAGCTTTCCCACAGCCAGAGCCCGAGACGAACCGAGATGGAAGAGTGTTCCTGCACCTAGTCGGGGGCTCCGCAGTCCCACACATGCTGGGGGTCAGAAAGCAGAGGCTGCGGGAGACCCAGCAGGCCCTTCAGCCCAAGGAGCACCCTCGCCCAGGGCAGGCCCTGGCTTCTGCGATGTCGTAGGTGGCTGGAGGGCTGACGGCTGGCGCCGTGTCAGCACCACGCAGGCGCAGTCTGCGTCCTACAAAGAGACTGTGCCGTCGCGTGGACTCACTGCTTCTCTAGAGTTCTGACCCAAATGTGCTTCTGACACCCCGTGTGTGTGAGCCAGCTCTTGCTTCCAGACACCTCTGGAGTCTTCTCAGTCCAGAGGCCCTGAACCCCTCTTCCCACCTGGCCTCTGGTTCCTGCATGGGCTTCCTTTCTGGGACTTGCGGGGCAGCGTGGGGAACAGCCACACAGGGGGTGCAGGTTTTAGGTCAGCGTGAAAGCCCCTGGTTTCTCTCAGGGTCCTTCTCCCACCCCATCTGTGGGTTTGGTGTTGGATCCCAGGCCCCAGGGAAACACGTTCACCAGTCAGATGTCTGGAGTGGCAGGCTGGCTGAGTGCTCGACCCCATTTCTTCTCCAAGCCTGTTTCCCAACAGGAAAAGGGAACTACCATGAGCGCTGAGACCACGTGGGACACGTGTGATACAGCCGGAAGGTTCCCACACATCTGTCAGGCTCCGGAAGCACCACCAAGTCTATGAATTAAAGTCCTTTATTTCAGCCACTTTGGGTTTTCTGTGCATTTTCTTTTGTCAAAAGGAATATCCTTTGCCCTCATTTTTATTGTGTCCTGATGAAATAGAAGCTTTACAAAAGCGAGTAAGTGTCACAGCAACATGCATGCAGAAACAAAATGAGGAAGACAGAAGGCCTCTGCAGAGCAGTTCACTATGCACAGCAGGTGAACGCCGAGGTGACGTAAAACATGGGCCCTTCCAACAAGCAGCAGAAGTGTAATGTGTTCACTTCCAACACAGGAGGTAACCTTACACAGAAGAGCCACTAGTACTGACCAAGTTTCTGAGTACAGGAAGCTTATTGTTCTTTAGATTATTCATAAATAAATTTGGCCTTTGGTTAAAAAAAAAAAAGACCAGCCATGAATAAAAAAAAAAAATACATACCTGTATTAAAATACAAACTCACTTTCCCCATGTGGGGTGCTCACATCCTCCCCACAAACCTCCCAGGCCCATGTCTGGTGTGATGTCCACACACTCCAACCGCCCCGATCCCTGTTGACGGGGTCATTCATCTCCATGTTGTCTTCTCCCTTCACTGTTCTTCTACTTCCAACTGTGGTTTTAAAGATTACATGACTGGCCAAAAAGATCCTTAGAACCAAACATAAAAATTTCAGTGAAATTAGTTGACTTCACCACTGAACTTCACTCATCCAGATAGATATTTGTGTTATTAAACCTTTGTTTTTACTGGACTCTGATAGAAGATTTGAAGTCTATAAAAGATGTCAGATAATGGTATTTTATCTGAAGAGATGACAACTCCATTAAAATATTTAAACAATTAATAAAACTTTCAAGAAAAAAATGTGACCAAAAATAAGTATATTTTGAAGAAAAAGTAAGATTCTTCCAAAAGTAGAAGCTTCAGCACGCATTTTTGTTGTTGTCTTTTCCTTATATATATTTTCTTTCCTTTTTTTTTTAAACACTGCCAATTAGATGGGTTTAAAATTCAATAAGGCATTTTTTTTTTTATTCAAAGACTGTTCTAGTTTGAAGAGGAGCGAATTGAAGGCAGAAATTCCTCCCTGCTGTGCCCGATCAGCTATTGATTAGGGGAGGGCTGCTGACCTAAACCATCGCCAGATAATAGGCTGCAGCCTCACGGAGCACATTAGTTGTAGGAGACCCAAAGCCGCCCTTTTGTGGAAAACCAAAGGCTCTGGTCTCTCTGGAGGAAAAGAAATGTTAATTGAAAAATTCCTCAAATAGGTGAAGGCTCTGAAGCTGCTTTACAGAAAGGTGTGAAGCCACAATCAGGGGGCAGGAAGAAAGGGCCGTGCTTGGGCGGGCGTGCTCTCTGATGCTGCCGGTTAATCTCCCATTCACAGCGGCCTTTCAGCAAGGCCTGCGACAGCTGGACCTGCAGGCCGGGTCCGGATTAATTGGTCCCTCAACAGGGAAAGTAAAACAAAGAAACTTCCTACTGGATGCCAAGGCCTGGATCTGATTATTTACATAAAAAATCAATGCACGGCCGTCTCCTCTTCTGTCGGTTAAGGACCTTAGACAAACAGACACGTTGCCACTGTCACAGCTTCTCGGGATCCTCATGTGGGAAAGCAACCCCAAGCCCACCAGGCATCTGCACACGACCCTTGCCCCCAAGGAGGGGCATGTCTGTGTGGACAGGAGACCAAGAGTGATGAGGAGCCCGGGACCAGCTGAATGGAGGCTCCTACCCAGAACCCGGATCCGTTCCTGCCGTCCACACAGGCCAGGGCTCAGCACCCCCACCCGCCCCTCCTCTGACCCTCACCCTGTCCACACCACTAGCCAGACTTGCTAGAAGAACTACCTCACCACAAAGCCACCCAACAAAGCGCTGACGCACCAGGCAGGGCCTTGGCGCTGGCGGTGTAGACCTTCCCAGCTCCCAGCACCCCAGGGAGACACAGGCAGTCTCTGCGGGCGTCAGGAGAAGGTTGGGTTCCCCAAAGACAACGGGGCTTCGGGAGGGCGACTGGGGCAGCTCCCACCTGCTGTCGGGAGCCCTGGGCCCCCAGTGTGCACCAAAGCTACTTAGCACCCTACACAGGAAGCAGCTGAACAGACCAAGGCCGGAGCAATCAGTGTTTGGCTGTCAAATGTCGTCCAGAGTGCACTTACCAAGCATCATGAGGTGCGCGACTGAGTCCAGAGCCTCGAAGGCCGGCCCAGAAATAATCTACCCTCGCCCCTCACCAAGTGGAAACGGACTCTTAATGTAGACTGTCGGTCCTGCCAAAATTAAATGAAGTGTACAGTACACATTTGGGAGCTTAAGCAATTAAATTAATTAATTGAATTAAATAATTTGAATATTTCCTTTTTCGCTAACCAAGACAGGAGATGATGGCTGAAACCAGTGTGTGTTGTGCCCCTCCCCCAACCTCCAGTGTCGCCAGTGACTGAAGGGGACACGCAGTGACTGAAGGGGACATGCAGTGACTGAAGGGGATGCGTAGTGACTGAAGGGGACACGCAGTGACTGAAGGGGAGACCCAGTGACTGAAGGGGACATGCAGTGACTGAAGGGGAGACCCAATGACTGAAGGGGATGCTCAGTGACTGAAGGGGATGCTCAGTGACTGAAGGGGATGCTCAGTGACTGAAGGGGATGCTCAGTGACTGAAGGGGATGTGTAGTGACTGAAGGGGAGACGCAGTGACTGAAGGGGACATGCAGTGACTGAAGGGGAGACGCAGTGAGTGAAAGGGACACACAGTGACTAAAGGGGATGCACAGTGAGTGAAGGGGACACGCAGTGACTGAAGGGGAGACCCAGTGACTGAAGGGGACATGCAGTGACTGAAGGGGAGACCCAGTGACTGAAGGGGATGCCCAGTGACTGAAGGGGATGCTCAGTGACTGAAGGGGACGCGCAGTGACTGAAGGGGATGCTCAGTGACTGAAGGGGATGCTCAGTGACTGAAGGGGATGTGTAGTGACTGATGGGGACACGCAGTGACTGAAGGGGACGCGCAGTGACTGAAGGGGAGACGCAGTGAGTGAAAGGGACACACAGTGACTGAAGGGGATGCACAGTGAGTGAAGGGGACACGCAGTGACTGAAGGGGAGACCCAGTGACTGAAGGGGACATGCAGTGAGTGAAGGGGACACGCAGTGACTGAAGGGGAGACCCAGTGACTGAAGGGGATGCGCAGTGACTGAAGGGGATGCTCAGTGACTGAAGGGGATGTGTAGTGACTGAAGGGGAGACCCAGTGACTGAAGGGGACGCGCAGTGACTGAAGGGGATGTGTAGTGACTGAAGGGGACGCGCAGTGACTGAAGGGGACATGCAGTGACTGAAGGGGATGCGCAGTGACTGAAGGGGATGTGTAGTGACTGAAGGGGAGACCCAGTGACTGAAGCGGATGTGTAGTGACTGAAGGGGAGACCCAGTGACTGAAGGGGACGCGCAATGACTGAAGGGGACATGCAGTGACTGAAGGGGATGCGCAGTGACTGAAGGGGATGTGTAGTGACTGATGGGGACACGCAGTGACTGAAGGGGACGCGCAGTGACTGAAGGGGAGACGCAGTGAGTGAAAGGGACACACAGTGACTGAAGGGGATGCACAGTGAGTGAAGGGGACACACTGAAGGGGACACACAGTGATTGAACAGGAGACCCAGTGACGACTGAAGGGGATGCAAAGTGACTGAAGGGGACACAGTGATTGAACCTAGTTCAGCCCAATGAGAAAAGTGTGGGGAGGACCCCGCACATGGCTCCGCCATGTGTGGGCGAGGCAGCTGACAGCAGAGCCCATCTAAGGCGGAAAGGGCCGCGGGGACTCTGGTCCTGCCAAGAGCGGGGTCTATAAGCCTGAGCAGAGTCGTCCGGAGCCTGGGGGACAGACAGTTGCCTCAGCTCGGTGAGAGCCGCGGGAGGGGTCCTGTTGCTTCCAATGGGCTGGACCTCCAGGGGGTGCTTACAGGGGCCCTGCTGCGCGATCTCAGGCTCAGGACCTTGCCCGGGGAAGAGGATCAGCACAGGGGCCTGGCCCGGCCACATGTGCTGGGTCTCGGGTTCCTCAGTCAGGGACCGCTCAGAGCCACCAGACAGGCAGCCCGGGCCTCCCTCCTAGGGAGGGGCGGGAGCTGCCAGGAAAGGATCACATCCTGCAGCAACAGCTGAGGGGCGGGCATGGTCCTGACTGCAGACCAGATTGGAACTGCTCAGACAGCACCTCCAGCCTGGAGGGAGACAGTGGGAGGCTGCTCTGGACTTCTGGCTGGTCAGCTCCACCCGCTCAGCCTGGGTTTGGGAGTCTTCCTCTCAAGGTCCTTCCCGCCGCTGCTGCCATCCTCAGACCAGGCTCCTGGCCACAGCATGGCCTTCCCAGCATGAGAGCCCTGCTCCGGGAGAGGGGGGAAGGCCGCGGCTCCCTGCCCCCGGGGCCTCAGGACGAGCTCCCCACATGCCTCTCTCTGCTGGTCCTTCTGCTCTGAGGTGTCTGCACTTCACTGGGACTTTTGGACCATCAAAGAGGAGGACAGAGAAGAAAA